AAGAAGAAGAAGAAGAAGAAGAAGAAGAAGAAGAAGAAGAAGAAGAAGAAGAAAAATGAACAAGAAGAAGAAGAATTCTAATAATATATTAAGTAGAGCAAAAAGGACATGGGTGGTAATACTGAGGTAATAATCATTACAGATTTTGAAAACTATTAGAAAATAAAACGACGTTATGGTCAAATAAGATTTCAGGAAGAAAAGTCTCTGTATACTTTTACAACAATCTAGCGCTCCACTTGTCCACGTTCAGAGATCAGGCTGACCTTCAGGCATTGGGTTAAGGTAAACGAATGTCACTTCTCTCTCAACGTCAAATCAATACTTGATTACCGATACGTTCCACGACTTGAACATTTATCATTTACCGTTGACATTTCGGATTACTTATGAACTTCGGAACGATTCTTAAGCTGGGAGCTCGTCTTTTATTCAGCGAACCTTTTCATTACGGGAACATTTTCTCTATTCCCCCGTGACGCCAAAGCTTACACTACAGCAACATGTGGCGACGTGGGGGAAACGTACGTCACATTGCGTGTTATACTTTCAAACCTCCACACGAGCCAGCACTAATGCGTGCTTTACAACACTGGAAAAGGACACCCCGCGATTCATTAAGCGGCCATTAACATAAGGACACCTCACGATTTATTAAGCTGCCATTAACATTAAGATCCAGTCAATCAGGCATTTCGATTTCTTTATAGTAATAATATCGATTTCATGCTCATTGTGAATTCCGAATAGGAATGTTTAAATGTCAGGAAGCATACGAATAAAGATAGTCTAGCCAACTGCGCTGATTAGGACGAGGACTTCTCATAAGGCGCTTCCTATAGAAAGAAATATCTAAGAGACGTTTCTTCATAATACATGTATATAAGAATCTTATTGAAAGCCCAGTTCAACAGGATTAGGAAGAGAGGCTTAGCAGATCAAGCCAAACTCTGATTGTGCGTCCCAGAAACAAATAATAAGAAATTTACTGTGCATTTGGGTAAAAACTAGCTTCGGATTAACCAAGCTTTAAAAATTGTGCCGCAGTGGAATGCTACGCAAATATTCTATTAAGAAACTGGAGAATCTTCAGACAGAGTTGAATGTGGTCAAGTGATTTTTGTAGTTAGTTCTTATGCTAAAAATTCGGTTTTAAAGCCAAGACTCATACGTTCTAACACCCTGATGTTAAATCGTTATGTTATAGCTAAGCCAAGGTATGATAATATTGTGACGTTGAGCATACTCCCAAGAAATTTGTTTTGTCTATGAGGAACACAAAAACGAGCAGTTGTAATATTACCGCTATATCAAACATAAACCTTAAGGCAGACAAAATAAAAACGAGATTCAAAAGAGAAAAAGAAAAGTTTCCAGCCAAGCTTGAGTAAAAAAGAATATAGCGCAGGTAAAGTGTGTCCAAAACTGTACTATCATTTACTACTAGTAATATTATCACAAGAAATATTCAATCCACGTAAGAATGCAGGCGTGCCCCCACACACACACACACACACACACACACACAAACACGCATATGCAATCATACACATAAACACATGCACACACACACACACGCACACACACACACACACACACACACACACACACACACACACACACAGATGCTTATGTACCCACGTGAAGGTAATGACGAGCTGAATCAATAGACTACAAGAATAGCAACACTTTTGTTTCAGCTGATGGTAAGAAGCTTTTCTTCTATCTTCATAAAACAGAATTGCAAGTCGGGTGGGGAGACAAGGCGGCTCTGGGAACAAATCAGCTTTCCCTCACTGCATTTCATTAAATTGAGAGGGGGGGGGGGGAGTTTTTGATTTTATTTTAGTCTTCTTTTCTAGTGAACAAAAGTCTTAGAAATTTTATAATATAGGTCAATATCGTGGAATGTATGCCCAGAAAACTACTTGCCTTTTCATTGATAGTATGGAATTTTGACATTTTCTATCTCACCTAATTATACAAAAAAAGATACGTGCGTGTCAAAAGCGGCTTGATAAAGGAACGGTGTATGTCTTCAGCCACAAATGTTTCTTTTATGTGTGATATAATAACAAACTGACACGATTTGAAACCCTGAGTAATCGTTCCCAATCTGTTTCAAAGGGATTCTATGGCCCTTAACCTCGACTTATCAGAAACCTACGCCCTTTCAGTGTTCCACTCTATTAAAGTACCTAGCCCGCCTAAGAAGGAAAAGATCATTTGGAAGTCAACAGAGAAAAAAAATCGAATGTATTGTATTTGCAGGCCACACTCTCCCAAACTCTTGAAGCACATTATTGTCTGTGCAAACATAGCAGTGCCAGCGTGTTGTCTTGTGCGGCGGGTTGGTGAGAATTATCACTCCCCCCCCCCCTTTTTGCTACCCCAGAATGACAAAGTTCTATCTGCTCAGTACCTAGTTTTGAGAAATTTGATGTCCAAACATTTTGAGTTTCACATGTCAAGTGTTTTCGAATGAATTGCTTTGTATATCTTGATAACGACTCGAAATAAACGTTACGATTTTGATAGAGCAGATAAAACATTTGGTTTCTGACCACACGGTCGTAATAACTCAAAACGGCAAAACAGCCATAAATGTTAGATAGAACTTTATAATTCTGAGGTAGTGATTGTGTCGTGGGTACAAACTGTACCACGATGATCACTCATCTGAAAAGGGCTTGATATCTATTTTATCTATTTGTCTGTTGGTACTTTTGTCTGTCTGTCAGTCTGTCGTTTTCTTTCTTTCCCTAAATTCTCTCAATTTCTCTCTGTACCGCCCACCCCCTCTCTTTCTCTTACCCTTTCTATCTATCTATCTATCTATCTATCTATCTATCTATCTATCTATTTCGGTGTAAGACAGGGATGTTTACAATCACCTTTCCTCTTTATCTTTGTGATTGACTGTCTGATGAAGAAACCACCAGAGAACACAGTAATGGTATACAGTGGACCCCATGGACACAGTTAGACGCAGAGGATGTGACGACTCAGGAACATATGCAAGCAAAGAAAACAATTTTAAACAGCATATCTGAGTCTGTTGGATTGAGGATCCACCCCAGAAAGTCAAAAGTCCTAAGGATAGACGCACTACGAAAGAAACAGGTCACAGTAGAGGGAAATGCAGTAGAAGACGTCGAATCCTTCTGCTATATTGGGAGTATAATGACAGAATGTAGATCGTGTCTCCATGACTATTCACCATATTGTCGTGCCGAAATATTCTTAATTCAATTAATTCGGAGAGAAATAATTCTTGTACCCAATATTATACACCTCTGATGAATAGGTTGATAGTGAAAAAGAAAATGTGATGTCTCTCTGTTTTACTGAGTATGTGGTTGTTTTCTTGGTAGGTGTAGCTGTAGCTAAAAAGGGGGGAATGGTTTGTGATACGCGGCCGACTGACAGTCATACACTGACAGTGAGATCGATTATCTTCATCCATTTAATTTCATCATTTGTCTTTTTCAGTTAGGCCATACCAGCTCCGAAAAAAGTGAGTGCAAGTGGTATCTACAAGCAAGACACTGACAAAGAAAAACCTCTTCAGGATGGATAGGGGCAATCCTTACGTGTGGATAAGCTCCAAAATGCTTAGAAACCCTCTCAGCGCGGGCTCAGAGAGGCCTCTCACTACATCGTCAGCAATAAGGAGCCACACACCAAACTTGACTTCGAGTGGTGGTGACAACAACCACCTACGGCGTGTCAAAACCGCCACGTCTAGAGACTGGTTCCAGACGTCTGTCCTGCCGGAGTATATCCGCCAAGGGGGTCAGAGGGGTCAGGGCAGACACTCCGGTAGACAATTCTGCGTGGTGCAGGAGAGACAAGGCTTAACAACTCCACACGAAGACAACGGAGATGATTGTCTTGGACGAAATCCCTCCTCCGCGGATCACACAAAACGTTATAATGAAAGATCGTGTCTCTCGCGGCGTCAAGAGCGCAGTAACTCAGACAAGGGTAGCAGGCTCAAAAATGAAAACACCCCTGGATCTGAAAGGGTCTACGCCTTTGCACCGCAAAATCCTCGAACAATGATATCGTCCCCTGACACAGGGGCTGCAACTCGTAATTACTCCCCGCGGCCAAGAAGTCCGTTATGTCAGTTTAATACACCACAACTTACCGGAACCCCAACCCACAATCGCTTCGTTTCTCGAGACAATACACCTACAGGTGACAAGACCCAGGAGTTAACTCCCCTCATTGATAGGGCCTGGTATCGCCCCCTTGCGGCCAATCCGACTCGACCCCCTTCTCTCCGGCCGTTCTCTGTTCCACACAGACACACCCGAGCGACAGCCCAACAACATACTGGACTCAGGCTGAGCAGAAAACGCCAACAGAGCGCTCACGGTCCATTATCGTCTGCATCACCCGCTAGTGAGGACAGTGCCTACCGGGACAGCCCAGGAAGCAGCAGGCGACAGAGCCCTGTGAGGACACGCGCCCGACCTCCCCCAACAACGATAGCTACAACTATAAGACCCCTCACAGCCCTCAACAACGCTTTCAGAGCAAAAAGGTACATCTGTGCATATTATAGTTGTTTAAGTACTCCTCTAAGCTTCATACCCAAGATCTATTCTTGTTACAATTATCGTTTTCTTCCCCTGTAATGATGGTTTTCTTCACCCACATCCCGCAACTTAAAGCTTCCCTCTTCCCCCAACAGAGGCACTGGACCATTTTAGAAATCTCATATGAGTTTGGTATTGCTGAAATATTATTGCCAAAAAGGTTTCATTTGCCACACATTGTATTATTATGAAAGCAGAGCTCTTCGTCTCTTAGGCACTGCGCTCAGAGGAATTACTCTTCAAAGGCAAATGATAAAGCCAGCCCTCACCCAAAATCAAATCTCGAACGTCGTAGTATTACAGAAAATCAAATTTCTCATTGTGGCTGTCTTTATGGCTGTCCTATTGAGAAACGAAAGTACACAGCTGTGAAAATCTCATTCTCTGTATGAAAAGCATGATTAGAGTTGACTTGACTTCTTAATTGGGAAACCTGCCAACTGTAGTATTTTTTTTGGGTCGAATATGTTGCTATGGGCACATTACTGACGCCATTATCATTTCCTCCTTTTGTATCTGGCTGGTGTCTCTGGTTAGCCCCGGAGGCCACTCAAAGCAAAGACTTTGTGGGGTGAACGCCGACCTGAATAACAAGTAGAGTCAGAGGGAAATGGAGTGGGTTCCACTGTCAATAAGCTATTAAACAAGCAAATGGCTGCACGCTCAGTCCAGACAAAGAAGAGCTGCACTGTTCCTAATGTTTTGTTTGAACTCGCAACATTTCGTTTTCCTAGAATTACAAAGTTATATCTGCTAAGTGCCTAGTTTTGAGAAATTTTACGTTAAACATTTTGAGCTTCACAATTGTGTCAAGCTTTTAAATGCAATTCTTTGTATATCTTGCTGACGACTACGAATAATCATATTATGATTTTGATAGAGCAGATAGGACATTAATTTTGGTTTCTGACCTCAAGGTCTTAGTAACTCAAAACAGTCAAAATTGTCAGAACTTTGTAATTCTAAAGTAGTGACTTGCTGTGGATCATGCTCCAAGAAAAGCCGTGATCAATCTGCAAAAACGTAATTTATTAGACCTACAGTGCAGTGGTTCTTAACCTGGATTCTATCAAACCTATTGATTTTAGTGAGTCAGTCTCATGGGTTCGGTGGAGGTCAAGACACACATCCACTTTCATGGAACGTGTTAGGTTCAATATCTCCAACAAGGTTAAGAACCATTTTCGTAGTGGACACATCGCATCGTTTTTCCTCACATTTTCTCAGCTTACACTCGCTTTATCATTTGCACCATCGTGTATGTTCGTCTGCTGGAATACATTGCATCCCTCCCAGCCTGTGTTGGACCCGACAAGCAGGGCCAAAAAAGCCCGTCTCCTATATGATCTTAATTGTATTAATGGGGGGGGGGGGGGGTTACAACAGTTACAACTACAACTACAACTACAACTTCAGTTATTTGCTATTCGCTTTCTTGTTACTTAAATTTCTCATTTCTATAATTTATATTGCAGTAGGTTCTTCCACTTTGGTGGCGATATTTATCCCAAGTACAAATTCACAACATTGGTATCCGAGCGTGATTTGTAACACGCGAAGCGGGTAACACAGCCCTGAAAGTAAAAAGTGAAAGGGAAACAAGGATGGCGGGAGGGGGGCGAAAGTTGCATATTTTCAACCGAATTTGGTTTGTGCTAGCCAGTTGGTGCTTGTATACGGCCCTATTGCCAGCTCAGCTCTGAATCCGGTGTTGGAAATTCTATGCACACTGTTATAAAACACCGTGGTCACGGGGTCACCCAAACTGCTTTTTGTCCGGAAGAATCATGGCGTCTAATGTCAGCTATTGCTTAGGATTTTATTGCATCGTTTCTTTTTTCCCTCACACAACAGCAATCTTTTTAATCTATTTTTGGTGACCCTTTGCTCACTCCAGTGTAACAACAAGTATACAAACGGGCAGGTAAATCGATACTTTGGCCTACACAAGAGGGATACTTGAATACAGCAAGACTTAGTGTTTCTTTGCGGTGTCCAAGGAAGACGTTCATGTCCGTTCCCGCGGGTGGGGAATTAGGAACTTTTATAGCCACCCGCGCTTCAGATATATGAGAGGTATGGAGATATCAGGCCTTTTCGTTACCGCTACCTTCAGAGTTGCGATTATTAAATGTCATACCTGTAATATAGTGCGATTCAACACTAGTACTAGGATATTGTTCTACAATATTTTAGCCCGTGTCTAAATAATATGTTCTAGCACGTTTCTTCAGACATACTTTCCGTCTAGCAATATCCTCAGTTAATGGTCATCATTAATATGCTCGATGATACAGACAAAGAATATTTATTTTGAATGCAGGGTAAACGAAAATCGGAAATTGACTTGAAAACCAGTTTGCATTGTTTTTTTCTTTGGTACTGTCTCTGCAAATTAATGCATTAGTGTTGACATCTAAAAACCATTAACACTTTCGTTCTATATATAGAGCAGTACTATGATTATATATTTGCACACTAAAGTGTATTCTTTCAATTCGCTCAAGAAGATATTGCTTTATGATGGCGAAACTCTAATAAATTATCCGTTCATAACACAGACGCAAAGCATATCCGCTTCCATAGCCGTTTATCAGAAACAGTAATATTTTCAAAACACCTTTGCAGTTCGTTTCTCGTCCTTTGTAAGGCACGCCATTTCTTAAACTTTTAAGCTGAAAAGGTGATTGGAAAAAAAATATGTTTACTTTTACGTTACTTTTCCCATACACGGGCCATCTGAGTTCGAGACCTTCAGCATGTAGTGGTTTAAGATATCTGTATACACGATAATATTACAACCTACAACACTGTTTGCAATAACAGGGTGTTATTTTTATCTAAATTCAGTGAAATTTACTTGTAAATAAAGACTGCCTGAGTCCTCATTTTTCTTGAGTTTGCTAGACTCTAGATTCTTGCCAGCCTCCTCATAACGCACAGGTGTATCCTAAAAGTGCATACTGGATGGCAGATTTGAAGGTCAGCTACTGACACTGAAATGATCTGACTAAACAGTTTTTGTGACGTGACGTCGTGCTTGGGGTTTTCATCTGCGGGTATACTCGGCAATAAATATCCCCGTTTATTTCAAATTTTAACACCATTCCAATAAGTCAATATGTCGGCTTGCGTTAATTGGACTGCATCTGATTCTGCGGAATTATAGTTGTACATTTTGTATTTGAAAAGTAGGTGCTGCCAAATGAATGACCGAAATGTGTTGGAACTGGGTGTTAGACATAATATCCATATGTACATATCCATAACAAATACAAAGTGCCATAAAAAAATACAAAACATATCGGGCAGCCTTCGAATCGTAGAGTGCACCGGAAAGGCCCAGTCTAATGCGAATATTTTCCTTTCATGTGCATAACTGTGTGGCAAGAGTGTGTCGAGTAATGGACTAATACGTGTAAAAACAAGGAAATCCACTACTCTCATTCACCTCAACTCCTTTATTGTTATTTATACCTATTTTCATTTCACTTGATTTCGCTATTAGCGTTCATTTCTGCCTGCCAAATCAATATGGCATTTAATAAGCACGAGAGTGGGATTCATAATGTAAAACCATTTTACTTCTCACTAGCTGCTTCTTAACAGGCAATCAGTATGCATTACATGAAAACAAAAGATTAGAGGGTGGTGGTCCTCGTGATTGGACATTTGCATTATGTTCTGAACCGCAAGTACCAGCGGCGAGTGGGTAATGGGGATAAGGAGCAAAATGATAGGGGAAGGGGTGGGGGATGGGAGCGGTTCTTGAACGATATAAATACGTTCTCGATAACACTATGTCCCTCTATTTTTTTATGAAACCAAAATCCAAGCTAGTGTAGGAACTCAGTGATGCAGAAGGACGTAGAATATATTGTGCACAGTGTGAACCGTTAGACTGATTCACTGTTTTCAACAGCTAGTTTCTTTTTAAGCTCGTACCACCTTTTCTGCTCTCAGTGTCGAGTTATCAAGGGTGTGCTTAATTAAGTTTAATAAGGATAACATACAATCTGACTGTACTTATGACAGCTTGGTAATATCGAAGCAGATCGTTTTTCTACCATCTCGACAGCTTCTGGCCTTCTTTCTTGTGGTTCGCGCTCATCGTGACGTCGTGTCTGCCTGTAGGTTATATATTATTATATAATTACATATACAATTCAGTGTGGTGCTCCGTTTGTTAGAGAACAATATAATTATAATAATAGTAATATTATTATTATTATTATTATTATTATAATAATAATAATAATAATAATAATAAATTGCATTTATATAGCGCATTTCCACTATACAAAGAACGTATGCAACGCACAGCTCCTATGGTAATCCTCTTTCTCTCTCCCTCTCTCTCTCTCTCTCTCTCTCTCTCTCTCTCTCTCTCTCTCTCTCTCACTCTCTCTCTCACTCTGTCTCTGTCTCTGTCTCTTTCTTTGTCTGTCTGTCTCTCTCTCTCTCTTTATATATATATATATATATATATTCCTGTGGGGGCGACCAGGGCTCGATTCCTAAACCTGAAGATCGCTCTTCTTGCTTTTAGACGCAGAAAATTGTGACGTCGTGTCTATCTGTAAGTGCTACACGTATACTATCAAATGCTGTGTTAGCTAGTAAACAATGGATTGCTATGGAGGTTCAATTTCATACCCAGAGGTCATTTTTCTACGCTTTGGATATGGACAGTAGTACTTCTGAAGTCATTTCTAGTAAATAGGGATGTTTAGAATACATCGTAGTTTGAAAAGTTATTGAAAACCATTGTGAGGAGAAAGCTACTCGCTGTACCCTCTGATACGGCTCTTATAATATGACCTTATTGTTATTCATTTATTGTAAAACTCTGACCAGTGGTTGGTTGACGGATGCGGTGGAGTGGTTTACTCCTTTCCTATCAAACATTTATCGTCATTCTCTCTCCTCCTTTTTCGTCTTTGTTACTCTCTTGTAACACCTCTAATCTTCGGCACTTATATGACCTTCTTGTGTTGCAAGTTCCGTAAAACGCTTACTAATACTTAACTAAAACTCTTACCACGCGCTCATATGAACGTATGCACTTGCGAGCGCCGTAAAATACTAACCTAAATTTAAAATTAAAGTAAAAAATGTAATCCTCTTACTAAAACACAAACCCTCAGCTACCTGGCAGGACGGGTGATGTCCATGTACCAGGGACGTCGAGCCATGTCTGCAGCAGCTCAAGCATCTGCGGCCACTTGTGCTGGACACTTGGACTCAGCTGACGTCAACGGCTCCTCTCATGGTCAGTTGTCTTCCCGATCACAGGACTCCGGGGAAAGACATACTTCTTTGAATCTTACTGTGAGTGCATAATGTGCGTTACTGTGAGTCTCTTATTTTTTCTACATGTATTTTTCTCTCTGTCTCTCGTTCCCCCCTCTCTCTATATCTTTCTCTCTCTCTATCTAACTATCTCTCTCTCTTTCTCTGTCTCTCTTCCTCTCTCTCCTTCTCTCTCTCTCTCTCTCTCTCTCTCTCTTTCTTTCTCTCTTTCTATCTCTCTTCCTCTCCCTCTCCCTCTACGGTGACTCTCAGTAAGAGCATTGTGATCTGTTCTTTATCCATTTGTGTTCACTACTGAAATTCTCTCTCTCTCTCTCTCTCTCTCTCTCTCTCTCTCTCTCTCTCTCTCTCTCTCTCTCTATCTATCTATCTATCTATCTATCTATCTATCTATCTCCCTATTTCTTTCCTTAATTCACTCTCTATCTCTCACGTCTTTCTCTCTTTCTCCCTCCCTCTCTCTCTCGGAGGTAACTCCCTCTGTTAGAGCAATGAGACCGATGTTTTATACATAATTTGTGCTCTCTACTGTAGCCCTTACTGTAAGACCATGGTTTAAACTGCTGAGCACGAATTTAAACCCCTTCCAAATCAGCCGTCCTATTTCTACTGTTCCAGCCTCTGGCTAAGTTCCGGATGGTAGTGCACATCGCCATCCGACTCCGGCGTCTGATGGATGTGATCATGACCAACACTCGCGAGAAGACGGTACGCTCGGCCACAGAGCTACAGTGGATGACGTTGTACGCAGAACGTGATGACGACAGCTTGGCCTTTAACAAACACCTGTACTCCAGAGATCGGGTAAAGACGTTATTGTGGGTGATAGGCGGGTACCAGAGTTGGTACTGTCTTGTAACACCTCTAATCTTCGGCACTTATATGACCTTATTGTGTTGCAAGTGCCATAGAACACTTACTAAAACTTTTTAAAAGACGTTATTCTAGCCTGAACTCTGCTATGTTCTCAGGGTCCTTGAAGTGGATTTTTTCTTCTAACATAGTTTTCAAAATGTGATTAACAGCATTATTTTGCTTTTAATAAACTTTTTTTCGACTTGACGGAGAAATTGCTCCGTTACGATTGGGGCTATTCCATGAAAAGTGAAACTGTGGTTTCCCACGTAACGAATAGGATGTTGGTCTGATGAAAAAATTCCAAGTAGTGATAGAGCCATTCTTTTTTTTAAAATTCTTTCATTAGAAGAAGGCTATTTTTTCACACAACTAAGAATAAAGAATAGCGCTGTTACGGCTCAGAACTCAGGAGATCATTATCCCACACAACGTATGCCACTACAATGTCACGTGGCTCATTTTATGTTCTATTTCAAAATAATATATTCGTTGGCTATAAAGTAATAATAATAATAATAATAATAGATAGCATTTGTATAGCGCATATCCCCGCTCAACAGCAGGCTGTATGCGCTTTACACTATATTATTACCCCAGCAGACCATAGAACACTCCGAAACATTCTCAGCTTCCCGGGAAGCATACAGTGCAAGCAGCTGATTAAGCGCTCAAACACTAACAAACTGACAAGATCTTTCGCTGTCTATAGCCGGGTACCCATTCCCACCTGGGTGAAGTGAGGAAAATTCGTGTAAAGTGCCTTTCCCAAGGACACAACGTCAGGTCCCTGACGGGATTCGAACCCACGACCTTACGGTTGCGAGTCCGAGAGCCTAACCACTAGGCCACCGACGCCACAAAAGTATCCAAAATTCAATTCACATAGCCAAAAAAAATATGTACTAACAATTTAATCGATTGTGTGGCACAAACTAGGTTACCCCAAAAACGTGCTAAGTCTAACCTGTATTCTTCAGTCTTGAGTCTAACAATAGAACACTATGCTCTTCACAATGTCAAGATGTAGCGCTATTCAAGGAGGAAAAAAATGTCTGCAGCTCTCAAATTGCACTGAATAATTGAGGTGAAGAAACAGAATAAGATAAATAAGAACGTTTCTTTTATCTGTAGCTTTAGCTTCCCTAGAGACAGCATCTTGGCGACTGACACAATCGAAGAGCTAAAGAGATTTTAAAGACGCTGCTATTTTAGGAACAACTTATATGATATACAAAAGCTACAAATACGGGATGGAAATTTCGTATTATACGAGATATACATTTGTTCATAGAACGTGCGTCCTATATAAGCCGTTAGTTGTTCATCGAACTTTTTATAGTAACCAAAGCTTATTTACTAAACCCTTCTGACACCTAATTTTCACATAGGCGTAATTAACAGCATAGTACAGAAACAAGTTGATGGTAGTTCAAAATGCGAGTTTGAATGTTAAAGAGCATTATGACTGTCCCCCCCCCCCCCCCCGAGACTACTGAAACGTTTTGGTTACCCAACCCAGCCCTTATAAGGGATCGCCGAATGAAACAATTGCTAAACCCAGAGAGAATAATTTAAAAATTAGAATTAGATAATCGATTGAAAGTTTTAAAAAAACAGACTCTTCTACCCGATGGTCCAACAATTCTTTACACCGTCGCAGAAGCCATCGAGAGAAAAACTTGATTCTCCTTTCTTGTACAAAGAGCACGTTCGCCGTTCTTTCAATTACGAAATCCGTTGCTTCTCGATTTGTTCGTCGAGTTAAGGCGTCTCCAGCTGTTAACTCTATTAATTATTAAATTGTTTTAAAGTCAGCCTTCTCTTCCAACGAGTAGTTGCAGTCATTAATGTGCATGTTACATGTGCAGAACATGAGAAGTTGCTTGTGCGGGTCATTAAATCGGCTCATTGTTCTGGCTTCCTGAGTGCACTGTGCAAAGTTCAGACTCCTAGCAACAAGCGCGATCCCACATAGCCCCAGGAGCTTTTCGATGTTTTCCCAGTAGAAGAGAAAGATGAAGACAATGTGACAGGCTTATAAATATCGTTTCCAATAGAACGCCCTCGCTAATTAGCTATAGACTTTGCCTAGCCGACCATTTCATTCGAATTTGTTTTTACTGAAATGGGCTTACCGGCGTCTGTTGTGTAGCGGTAAGACGCCTTGCAGTCGCATGCAGGGGACCCGAGTTCGAGTCCCGAGTGGGGAGAACATTAAGTGTACGACGGGGTGGAATCAGGGGCTCATTAAAAAAATTGTTGGATAAATATATGGAGTTATTAGCATGTTCATTTGTCTTGCTTGTGATAAAAAATTACCCATCTATCTTGAATAGAATTCGAGTTATTTGCAATTGAAGGAGGTGGGGGTGGCCTGATGTCAGAGGTAAAATTGACGAGAAAATGGCCGCCAAAGCCTGGTGTTTTATATAGCTTGAGAGACCTTAGAAACAAAGAATTTCCCTTATTTGTTCCTGTTATCAATCTTTTCACTGAAAACTTGACAGAAATTTGATTTTCAAAAGATATAAAAGGTGTTAAACCAAAAACCAAAAATTGAAAAAAATTGCGAAACCGGTGGAAAAAGGACGATTTCTCTGATTTCATTATTTTGACGAGCGCCTGATTTCACCACGCTGCTTCACAATTTTTATCGAGAATCTCTGTCTTTCTGCCTGATATGGCCCTCTCAGCCTGGGTTGTTCCTGAAAGGCCCGCCTCTTAAATTATCTGGCACGATGCTCCATTGAAGAAATGTTGGGTCAGCAAAAGGCATCCATGTACTTGTTGTATCGCCATATAGGAGCGGATTGAGTTCTCAGCCTGCTACTGACAACTACCACTGTCAAAAGTTCTTTAACACTTCTAGTAAATGTGATAATAATAATAATAATAATAATAATAATAATAATAATAATAATAATAATAATAATAATAATGATAATAATTAATAATATTAATGATAATATGATAAAAACGATAATGATGATAACAATAGTGATAATAATAATGAAAATGGTTATGATAGTGATAATGATAAGGATAATAATAATAATAACAACAACGACAACAACAATAATTATAATGATAATAATAATAACAAAAACAACAACAACAACAGCAACAACAACAACAATAACAACAACAATAGTAATAATAGTAATAACAATAATAACAAAAACAACAACAACAACAACAACAACAATAACAACAACAATAACAACAATGATAATAACAATAATAACAATAATAACAAAAACAACAACAACAACAATAACAACAATAATAATAATAATAATAATAGTAATAATACTAGAAATAGAAATAATGATAATGATAATAATAGTAATAGTGATAAAAATAGTGATAATAATTGCGTTTATATAGCATATATCCTGGTTCTACTTCATGGTGTATGAGTTTTCCAACTATCACTATCATTAACCCAGCAGACCCCAGATCATGAATCAGAAATACACCCAGCTTTCCAGGAAGCATACAGTACAGGCGTTAAAGCATTAACAAACTGACCACACCTTTCGTTGTCTATAGCCGGGTATCCATTGTCACTTGTGTTAAGTGGGGAGAATTCGTTTCCTAGAAACACAACGTTGGGCTTCTGAAGGGAATCGAACTCCCGACCTTACGGATGAGAGTTCGAGACCCAAACTAAAAGACCACATATGCAACAATTATAGAATTAGGAGAACCGGCACACAAAATAAATTACTGCGTTTAATGTCTTTGTCAATAAGCACTCAAGTCCTCAGAAACAGATGGTACCTATATGTGGTAAAGGGTTGATCCCAAGGCCCAAGCCTAAAGAGCATGCATTTGTAGAAGTGCGTAAACACAGGGGCACATTTATAATGAGGATATCTGCTAACATTGTTTTGAGACCAAGGGACTTTTGCCCCTTGTCCTTTTATCTAATTTTAGAAAGGGAACAAGGAAAGCAAAACAAAAAAACAAAAAAACCAATGTCTTACATGCAAAACAATTGTACGATGTCATTGAACAAATCTTGAATTTTATCCTTCAATCGTATAATATGGTGAACGAACAAAATTCATAAAAAATTTCCAGCTCAAATCGATTTTGTTGTTCAAATGATTAAAAGTACAAGCGTACTCGGTCTCTCGGGTGAACGAATTAAAAACACCAAGCAAAGCGATGATTTCGCTGAATCAAATAAAAAAACAAAAAAAAAACAACTCTGTACCTTGTTGTGGGAAAAGTCGAGTGCTAGAATCTCTATTCCTTTTATTTTAAGTCGTGCATAACGACATACACAAGAATTCAAATGTGAACAATTTTTGCTGATGTGAAACTGAGGATTATAAGTATGGGGTTGCTAGATCTATTATTCAACTAGGACAGCTCTTACAAGAAACTCATCAAAATCTCTCAGACCCTAATACAAAATGGGCACTCGGTTAGTCTAGTCGAAGTAATAGTTGTGTTGACGTTAGTCTGAGTAATTCGTTCAAAAGGCATTTCTTTGAATCTTTATCCTGCGAAGTATTCTTGAACTTTAGTTAATTTCTTTAAAGAGTTTTCGGGACCTTTCGAAGGCTAGACTCGACCTTATCGGAGATTGACTTTGGGCGAATCGTTTGTTCAGTTGGTATCATGCTGAAATACGGAGCGGGTGGCCCTGGTTCGAGTCCCTAATAGAGTTCAGAGTTCTGAACTTGGGTATTTTGGAGAGGTTTAAAGGCTGTCCACCCATTTGGCTCAGTCCTATCGGAGATAAACTATAATCAAATTGCTAGGTCCGGCCTATTAAATAACCTTACAGCGTTTAAAAAATATCCGTTAAACGTATACAAAGACTAATGGAAACTGACTTTGACTGGTATCCCTTCTATTCAGTTTCTCCTGATACTTCACATTTCTACAAATTTTCAAATCCTGTTGAGTAGCTGTGAGTAGCTGGTTTTATCGACCTCTTATTGTCTGACGTGGGTTCCAATGTTGCCCCCCCCCCCCCGAATTGCCATCCTCTACATTCCCAGCTCATCCACGTGAGTGTGTACTTTACAGGCTAACCACCTACGTTTGATATGTTAGCCCTTCAGTCGATATTGAGTTGAGACTTTTTGTAATTGGAGTTGATCTCACTCTCCGCACCGCTGGGTTGAAACAGTATTCGATGAAAAATTATGGTTCGGGGAGGAAAGGGGGGGGGGTTGTTAGAAGACACGTGATGCCGTTGTTACGAGTTTAAGAGTTCAAAAAGGGAAGCTGGCAGTCAGACAGACTAACGGACATACAGATGAGTCGATGGAGCAGGGGAGAGAGAGGGAGAGAGAAGGAGAGAGATGGAGAAAGAGGGAGAAAGAACGAGGAGAATAGTATGTGAGGAGAGAGAGAAATAAAGAGAGATAGATAGAGAGAGACAGAGACAGACAGAGTGAGAGAAAAGGAGAGAGAGAGAGAGAGAGAGGGGGGGAGGAAGGAAGAGAGAGAAAGGGAAAAAAGGGGGCGAGGAAGCGAAAAAGAGTGTATACCCGTTCATTTGGTTTGTCTTCGATGGGAAGAGGGCGTATATTATACTCTATGTGTGTTTCTTCATACAGCCCATGTTTATGCGGTGTGTGTGTTCTGATTATCCTCCTCTTCCTCGTTCTCCTCCTCTTCCTCCGCCTCCCATTCCTCCTCCTCCTCCTCCTCCTCCTCCTCCTC